AGTTAAATATACACCATTAAGTTTTTAAAACACACAAATATATTTGCAATGTAATGGAACAAAGTGTACTTACATCGTCATGACAGTATATGCCACCCGTCACACCGTGGTTTATTTTACATCCCACGACTGTTGGATTGGTGTGAGACCGAATCTCAAACCCAGCTATACGGTTGTTGTAAACATCGTTTCCTTCATAGTAGCCCTACAATTACAAGAATTATTTTATTGGTCTGTAGTGTGACAAGAAGCGGCCTTTTAAAACGGCCGAGGGTTAAGAATTGCTTGAGGCGCCTCCAGGAGCAACCCTAGATTCTTTAATGAAAGCTTTAAATACAAGTCTTTCCATTTTTGTCAGAGTTCTCAGCTTGGCTGGGTCATTGCAGGGTGCCTACTCTTACATGGTCTTTTCCACTCAGTAGTATTGATGAAGACCAAGCAAACTGTCTGGAAAACTCGGCAGAATGTTTTAGCGGGGGTCTCCAATACGATATCGTAACGGGTAAGTCATGAATGATTTTGTCATTTCATTTTCTGCTCTGCTGTACAACGAAAAATCTTTGGTACGAAATTTCATGTCTTTTGATAACCCACACTTATGTAAACTACATGGACTAGTTATTCAAACAAAGTTCAGACGTTGTTTTATAAAACCGCGTTCTTAGCTATCTTCAATTTAGCCAAAAGAGGGCTGAAAGATAATAGTGGAAGGACATTTAATTAATTTGATCAACCCCCCTATAGAGAAGACCTGAAGCCCACTGCTTACGTAAAACCGCGGCTTGAGTTAGACTATGGGACGGGGTGAATAACCGGCCCCATAAGTTTTCAGCAAGGAAAGGGGTTCAAGAATTTGCTGTAAATTGTAGATTATTTCTCACCTGCGCATCATCTGTGATGAAAATGCCAACATTTTCTGAGTCTGAGATAAAACATTTTGACAAAGTGGGTCTGGCTCCTCTTCCATGCACATAAACTGTGGCACCAGCTATGAACAAAAATTAAATCAACTGTCCACTGATCCCCACATATTACTGACATTACCACAAGTTTGTTT